TTTAAAAAATTAATTAGATATTTAGTCAAAATTTATTGAAGATTCTAAGTTTTTAACAGTTTTTATAATATGATAAGATTATATGAAAAACTAGTTTAATAAGAAATTATATATATCGTGCTTATTCAACAATTTAAAAGTACATTAATTTAATTTAACCAGGATTCACCCTTTTAATGGATTTTCATTAAAAAGTGTATTAGATATTTATTTAAGGTTTTAAAAGAATTTTAAAATGTCCATTAAGTATTTATTTGATAATTATTTAAGATTTTAGAGGGATTTAAAATATTTGTTAAGTATTTATTTGAGATTTTAGTGAAATTTTAAAAGATTATTGACCATTTATTTAAAATTTATTGAAAATATAATTTTTTTTTTGTAATATAAAACGATAAGATAAAACTATGAACCAAAGTATTGTCTTGCAGGCTTTCAAGAGGACTGCTGCAAGGTTTGAAAAGGAAATTACTGTTTTTATTGTATGCATACTATGAATCAAAAACTAACCCTCAATATCATATCTGTTGGATACTTTAAAAGTACTTAAATATTATGGGTTCATTGCAAAAAATGCAAGCTTAAAAATGAACACGAGGGTTTCACCAAAAAGATGAACACGAGGGGACCAAAAGGACATGTCCGAATGGTTGAGTTTTCGAGCGACACGTGACAATGATGGCATGCTCAGAAAGAATCCAGTTCCAAAGGCATTAATTGGCCAAACGTCTTGATCAAAGATTATCAAAGCATTCGAAAGAACACCTTTTGATATATGTATCAAAAGGTGTCTATTGGTTTAACTTTGTCGCGTTTCAGAAAAAGAAAAATTTGTTGTGCCTCTTGGACATTTTGTGTCCGATAAGAATGCAAGTTCGTTCATTATTTTCTCCATTTATTTTTAATAATTTTATTTTTTTTATTTTTAAAATATAAATTTAAGATAAAAATTTAATAATCTATATAAATAACAATTAATTTTTTTATATGTAATTTTTATTAAATATTTTTATTTGATAAAAAAATTAAATTATTATTGATATAATATGTTAAATTTTTATTAAAAAAATTATGTTTAAAAATTTTTAAAGTCAAATTAAGATTATTAAAAATAAATGGATGAAATATAAAACAGAGGCCTTAGTCATTTGTAAAAATGTATCAGTTAGTCATTCCTTCACACCTATAATCTTAATAAAAATTTTAAATCTTAGGACAATCTGTGAACATTTTGATGTTCCAAAGGCAATAATATCACACTTAAGAACTTCTTTCTTCTCATTTACTATATTTTTCTAACAATACCTTCTTTGTGTTACCCCGCAGACACCCTAACCGAAAACAAAAA